AGGGGAGCCAGTCCTGGGGGGCATAGGGGACTGAAGACGGTCAGGGCAGATAAGGGAGGTGAGGGGGAAAAGGGATGTGTGAGGCAGGGGCAGGGGGTGCTGAAGGGACATTGGAGGGATTCAGGGGAGACTTATGGGGCAGATGGGAGGAGGGGTACAATGGAGGAAAAGGCGGGGGATGCAGGGAGGGGAGGCTGGGGGGAGACTGTGGGAGCCAGAGCAGCCTGGCTGAGGAAGGAGGAGATAGAGGGCAGGGGTTGTACAGAAGGAGATGGGGGAAGATACAATGGCAGCTCCCCCACCCCATGGGGCAGGAGTGGTGGGAGGGCAGAGATGACTGATGGTAGCACTTGGGTGTAGCAGCTCCTAAGTCCCTGGCAAAATTTCAGTTGGTAAATAGGGTGCCCCACATGGCCCCTGTCTGTGCCCTTCCCTGTGCCCCTCCCTCTGCAGGCACCAATCAACCCTGGGTAGGGGCTGCCCCACCCAGCAGGGAATTTTTTCTGTGATTTTTTTTTTAAGTGTTATAGATATCTGAAGACTCTGACATGTATTGAGTGTATATAAATGTGATGTAAAATTACATGTGACCTCTTAAAATTAGATACCATAATGAATATGCAAATAAAAGGTTACCAGTCTGCCAAAAGTTTGTGAATGGGTTTGCTGGTCCACGATATAAAAAAGGTTGGGAACAACTGTGCTACACCATCAGAAAATGCTTCTTTCTTTATTTCTTATGGACCAGCAAAAATATCCAGGGCTCCTCTCCTGGGGGAGTCTCTCAGGGTGTGTCTAGACAGAGGTGCTATTTTGGGATGCGTCCGGTACCCCGAAATAACATTTTCTGTGTCTTAACAGCACACCCGTTATTTTGAAATGCAATTGAAATAACGGACTTGCTATTCTGACATCCCCGTAAAACTCATTCCACAAGGATTAAGGGACTTGTCAGAATAGTGGTTGAAATTTGGCACTCTCTCGAAATAAGTTTGAAATAAGCTATGCAAATTGCATAGTACAAATTGCATATTTTATTTTGAGCTTGCACTGCTGTGTAGATACGCTCATACATGTTTCCAAAGGAGTTAAAAAAAAAAATCAAGCCACCTCTCCTAAACTGTCCCCCTCCCCCATTTTTTTAGTGACAGGAGTCTGAGGAAATTAATGTAGGTATCAGCTACAAGTCCTTGCCCTTCTAGTCTCTCTCTTCTTTGATTGCAGTTTTAAAACATTCCTGTTTAGTTGAATAAGGAACTTAGCTCTAGAAACTCACATGAGCTAATCTCTCTCAGATGGGATATATACCACTTGCTGCTTGCTCTGGGGGACACTGAAATACCAAACTTTACAACAGCAACATTATTACACATATAATAAGTTACCTATAGTGGTTCCTAAAAATATTTGTTCCACTCTCCGAACCTTCTATGATTGGATTTATGGTAACTAAAGAAATAAAAAACTTTAAAAATTCCATAAAACATTCTTAATTTTTTGCCATAACATATGTGGCATATACAAAATTTATGATGATGCAGTAAGGGAACAGACAACTGAGAGAAGCTTCCAGATAACAGGCCCTGGTCCTCATGGGGGATGTTAATCACCCTGGGTATGTCTACACTACCCTCCTAGTTCGAACTAGGAGGGTAGTGTAGACATACCCTCAGTTTCCATAAAACATTCTTAATTTTTTGCCATAACATATGTGGCATATACAAAATTTATGATGATGCAGTAAGGGAACAGACAACTGAGAGAAGCTTCCAGATAACAGGCCCTGGTCCTCATGGGGGATGTTAATCACCCTGGGTATGTCTACACTACCCTCCTAGTTCGAACTAGGAGGGTAGTGTAGACATACCCTCAGTGCAAATGAAGCCCGGGATTTGAATTTCCCGGGCTTCATTTGCATAAGCGGGGAGCCTGATCGCCTACCATATTTTCTTTTCTTACTGCGCATTGGGATGGTTTCTTCCTGTGCCTTTAATAAGGCTTCTTTAAAATACTGCCAGCTCTCCTGGACTCCTTTCCTCTTTATGTAAGCCATTGCAGGGAATCTTGCCCATCAGTTCTCTGAGGGAGTCCAAGTTTGCTTTTCTGAAGTCCAGGGTGTGTATTTTGCTGCTCTCCTTTCTTCCTTTGGTCAGGATCCTGAAATCTACCATCGCATGATCACTGCTTCCCATGTTGCCACCCACCTCTACTTCCCCTATTAGTTCCTCCCTGTTTGTGAGCAGAAGGTTAAGCTGCGAATGGCCCCTGGTCGGATCCTTCAGCACTTGTACCAAGAAGTTGTCCCCAACATTCTCCAAAAGCTTTCTGAGTTGTCTGTGTACTGCTGTATTGGTCTCCCAACAGATGTCAGGGGGTATGTCTACACTACCCCGCTAGTTCGAACTAGCGGGGTAGTGTAGACATACCCCCTGACATCTGTTGGGAGACCAATACAGCAGTACACAGACAACTCAGAAAGCTTTTGGAGAATGTTGGGGACAACTTCTTGGTACAAGTGCTGAAGGATCCGACCAGGGGCCATTCGCAGCTTAACCTTCTGCTCACAAACAGGGAGGAACTAATAGGGGAAGTAGAGGTGGGTGGCAACATGGGAAGCAGTGATCATGCGATGGTAGATTTCAGGATCCTGACCAAAGGAAGAAAGGAGAGCAGCAAAATACACACCCTGGACTTCAGAAAAGCAAACTTGGACTCCCTCAGAGAACTGATGGGCAAGATTCCCTGCAATGGCTTGCATAAAGAGGAAAGGAGTCCAGGAGAGCTGGCAGTATTTTAAAGAAGCCTTATTAAAGGCACAGGAAGAAACCATCCCAATGCGCAGTAAGAAAAGAAAATATGGTAGGCGATCAGATTGGCTTAACAGTGAAATCCTTGGTGAGCTTCAACACAGGAATTTTCTGTAGGTCCCCAAATCTCACAGTCATAAAGGAGAGTTGTGAATACCACTACTTTATAAACTAAAAGTCTAGTATGTGTTCTGAGGTTGTGATTCTTGAACAGTTGACAAGAAAGGCTGTCAAAAGCAAGGCTGGCACAGAAAATTCTGTGATGAATCTCAACATCTGTGTCTACCCTCTTTGAAAGATGGCTGTAAAGGTGGGCAAAATATTCTACATTTTCCAGTTCCAGTTTGTCAATGTAGATCTTCCTTGCTGGGTTGATACTGCACTAGACAATGCAGTATGGGAGGGAAGTGGGCAGCCCTTGGTGGGGAAAGAACAGGTTAGGAACTATTTAAAAAAGCTAAAGGTACATAAATCCATACCAAGTGTATTTGTTTTGTTAATAGACGTCACATTTTTAAAACAGACCAGTCAGCCTTACCTCAGTCCTCCAGGAAGGTTCTGTATGCACGTGCCTAAGACAGCAAGCCATACTTCTAGGAGAAATTACAGGTTTTCAAGCTCTCTCTGGAGGGAGTGTCAAGGACAAGGAAGGTACCCCACAGGAGGGAATTCTGAAATGCGCCTGTCTGGTTCTCAAAGGGGTTTGTGCATTTGGATGATGGCAGCAACACCAACGCAAGCCTCCAGTGGCAGGGGATTTTAAAGTCTCTTGTGGGCCCCCACCTTCTGCACTTGGAGTGCCAGAGTGGGAAACAGCCTTGACATGACCCCTCTCCAATTTATCAACATCCATCTGGAATTCTGGTCACCAGAGCTGGGCACAGAACTCCAGCAGCAGAAGTTCAAGTGCCGAATAAAGAGGCTAAGTCGGTTCCCCACTCTGGCACTTGGAGTGCAGAAGGTGTGGGCCCAAAAGAGACCTTAAAATACCGTGTCTCTATGGGCTTCTGCTTCAAAACTCCCCAAGGTCACAGATTCCCTGAGCTTAGGAGGGTTGCTGCCTCTACCCAAGTGGAAAAAAACTTTTTCTTCTTGAACGCAGGAAGAAGTCACTTGGGAACGTATTCCAGAAGGGTACCCCAAACTCTTTTACACAAGAGCCAAAAGAAATCTGATGAGGTTCAACAAGGACAAGTGCGGAGTCCTGCACTTGGGACAGAAGAATCCCAAGCATTGTTACAGGCCTGGGACCAACCAGCTAAGTAGTAGTTCTGCAGAAAAGGACCTGGGGGTTACAGTGGATGAGAAGCTGGATATGAGTCAACAGTGTGCCCTTGTAGCCAAGAAGGCTAATGGCATATTAGGTTGCATTAGGAGGAGCATTGCCAGCAGATCCAGAGAAGTGATTATTCCCCTTTATTTGGCTCTTGTGAGGCCACATCTGGAGTATTGGTGTCCAGTTCTGCTCCGCCCTCCTCCGCCCCACTATAGAAAGGATGTGGACGCATTGGAGAGGGTCCAGCGGAGGGTGACCAAAATGATTAGGGGGCTGGAGCACATGACCTACGAGGAGAGGCTGAGGGATTTGGGTTTGTTTAGTCTGCAGAAGAGAAGAGTGGTGTGTGTGGGGGGGGATTAGATAGCAGCCTTCAATTTCCCTAAGGGAGGTTCCAAAGAGGATGGAGAGAGGCTGTTCTCAGTAGTGACGGATGGCAGAACAAGGAGCAATGGGCTCAAGTTACAGTGGGAGAGGTCCAGGTTGGATATTAGGAAAAACTATTTCCCTAGGAGGGTGGTGAAGCACTGGGATGGGTTACCTAGGGAGGTGATGGAATTGCCATCCCTAGAGGTTTTTATTTCTTGGCTTGATAAAGCCCTGGCTGGGTTTATTTAGTTGGGATTGGTCCTGCTTTGGGAGGAGGCTGGACTTGATGACCTCCTGAGGTCTCTTCCAGCTCTATGATGCTAAGGCATAAAAGCATTAACTTGTTCTCTATGCCCTTCATAAATCACTTGTGCTTTCACTACTCATAAGAAAGTTGTCCCAATATCACGTCAATAAAGCCTTTCCACCACACCACTATCTATTCTGTATAGATTTAGATGGGTAAACACTATACATGCACGCACATACATAATTACACGCAGATACAGTTTATTATGTATCTACTTTAAAAAATCAAAAGGCAGTACCTTCTTTTTGCTGCAGTATATCTGCCATTTCTTCTCTGGCGGGAGTGCAAACATAGCCTCTCTGTTCTTATCCGTGAGATCCAGTTCATCCTGGGATTATAAATGCAACACAGTTACATGGATACCTGCTGCTACTGTGAGAAGAACATGGATTAAGCATATTCACACACACCTCCGCCCCGCCCCACTCCACCCCAGGTAAAGAGGCAGAGTGTCTCCCTGTAACAATGGACCTTTAACATTTGTACTGAGTGCGTCCCTTTCACTCCCGGCCTATGGTCACATATTCTGCCAAAGGTACCCCCAGTCAGAGCAGATGACAAGCAAGCACAGTGTCTGACTCCTCTTGTGAATTATCGTTACACCTGTGCTCACTTGGCTAAGAGCAATCACTGTTTGATGAATAAGTGATATGTCCTAATATAAAGGTGATATGTCAAGAAAGAGTTGAAGTGAAAAAAAGCCTGTTGTTCTGGCTAAAATAATCAGACCCTAACCTTTCTCGGAGATGTACAGAGAGTCAATATACTGTTTTCCAAGCCCAAAATACCAACTTGTTTCCTGCCCAGCCCTATCCTAGCCTTGCCAAAACACTTCAACACTGACCTGCACCAACCTCTAATAGCACCCTAACTCCCACCCCACACTACCAATGGCATGAAAGGATCCATTTCCACTTCCTTATATCATCCACTTCCCAGTAAAAGATGGAAGTAACACCTCATGTTTGGGGGAAAAAATCAACATATTCCAAAGAGACAAAAATCACCCTTGGTGTAAGTGGGCAAATACCTTTGCCTGTGGATGAGAGCAGCAAGCATGGCACAGTATTTCTGAGAGAGGAAGGGTTACCTTGCTATTAGGAAACTATATTGGATTCAGGAGATCTGAGTTCAACTCCCAGTTCTCCCACAGGTTTCCAGTGGGATTCTGGACATGGCACATGACGGCTCTGTGCCTCGGTTCCTCTTCTGCAAGGGGATGATAATATGCCATCTAAATAGCATGGGAAAGGGGGAAAACTGTTCAGGGTGGGATCTGTTTTTCACTGTGTATGTTAAACACTTTGCAAAATGGGGCTCCACTGTCAGGTGAAGTTTGTAGGTTCTGGTGGGATATAAATATTATTCTCAAGAGGACACATCAACATGTTTTGCTCTGTTTGGTCCTCTGTGCTGACCATGCAAAGACAAGCGGCAGAGGGGTGTGCTTGAAAAAGAGCAAGAGCACGCACGTGTGGTATAAAAACCATGCAGTCTGATCTTAAAGTTTCAAACAATGCTTCAGAAAGTTTTTTTTTTTTTAAATCTACCTACCTATTGCTACATCTATTTGAAGGAGAAAGCATTCAGGGGTACTATAATAAGATGACATTGTGAGGGCTAACAGAACTATAAATGCAGCACCCAGCTAGGCCTGCCTATTGCAGGGACAATACCTCTAACTCAGCCCCACAATGGATCATTTGGAAAGCCTTCAGGGCTGGGAAACTTGTGAAAACAGTGAGCTAAATTGCATACTGAGCCTGGTAGCTGCTGCTGACAGATTTAAAGGTCAACAGAGACTTAAGCAGCAGAAAGGTACAAAAGAAACGCAAACAGTAACAAGGCTAGGTCATTGCCAGCAGCAAAAGGTAGAAGAAGCTGAAGGATTTCTTCAAAAATGTTTAAAGAAAAAAATGTTAGTTGTGCATGAAGAACGCAAACCATGTGGAAATGTTTAGGGTAAGTTTCCAACCAAGGGGGCAGCGAAACAAGACAAGGAATTCTGTAAGTTCCAACCAGAACACTATTCTTTTGGGGGAGAGGGACAGAAAAAACTACATGAAAGTTTGTAAGACAAGCAAAGGAATGCTGTTAGAGGTCAAGCGTGTGGGAACAGTGGGAGGATCAGGGAGCAAATCGGAGTTTCCAGGTTTGGAAGAAGAGCTGCTAGGGCTGCAATGAAGTGAGCCAGCCAGTCTCAGCTAAGTACTTAAAAACTCATCATTGCTCTTTTTATTTAAATGACAAATGAGTTTATCATTTGTTTTAAAAATAGCATCTAACCAGCTCTCCTCACCCACACAGCTCTATCAGGAGTAACAACAGGCAAGAAACTGCAGGCAAATAAGATAAACAGCAGGAGTTCTATTACAAAGCTTAATTCATGTACAAGAGAAAGTTGAGACACAGCCAGTTCTGTGTGGTTTTCACAGAAGCTCCCAGTACCATACTGAATGACAGCACACTCAATCAATAACAGATAAGACAAACATGACATGGGAACATCAATGAGCATACCCTGCAGGCAAGATGCTTTAACCTAGCCACTTCCAAAAAGTTGCTGAACCCTTTTTATGGGTGTGTCTCTGAATCTATAATTCATAGATTATAAGGCCTCAGAGGACCATTGAGACAAACTAGTCTGACCTCCTGACCAAGGTGCATGCTGTTGTCTTTGCCCCACCTAGCATACTGCCATTTAAATTATGAATTTTGCATCCTGATAGCATGAGCAGCCTCACAGAACAGATAGGCAATAGTCTGATAGAAGAGGCAACAGCAAAAAAGCTTGCCATACCTAGGGTTGCTAGATGGTTTCAACAAAAATACTGGACACACTTGACATTACATCACAATCTACATTACATCTTATTTAGAAAATACCGGACATTTATATTTTCTCAATTTGTTTCCCGAACAGAAAGCTCAAATACTAAACTGTCCGATTCAAAACCGGACACCTGGTAACCCTAGCCATACCCTAACATAACTCCATAACCTAACAAAGTGATCAGACTGAACAAACAGTAAGGCATTGCCCTACCCGTCATCTTTATGTTTTAGGGCATAACTGGCTCACTAACCAAGAAGCATGAAGGAACCTAGTTTCATGGAACAGCATTTACGTGGTCACAGGTGGGCTACTCCTTCCCTCTTCTGAAACAAGCACCAAGGTCAGAAGGCCAAACCCTGGACTCCAGTTCACAGACTAAATGGCAAGGTTGCCAGTGAGGCCACTTCCAGAGTGGATGAGGAAAACCTCCCCTATGGGATGCAGAGCAGCAGCAAAGCCACTCCCTAACCATCAGTGCAGTCATTCTTCTGGCAGCTGTGCTCTCCTTCAGTGAGGGAGGAAAGCCAGTGAAACGCCATAGTCATGGATATATCAGCCTTATTTTTCTTCCTCCCCTTGCCCCAACACCCAAAAGCCCCTCATGCTGAGGTATCAGTTGTCCTGTAAAGGTTCTCCAGATCTTGCCCTTCTCTACCCCTTTGTGCAGTGGCAGGGTGAAGCACCTCTAGAACTGCAGAGGAAAGGGCAGACACTGGAGCACATCGACCATTTGCCTGCTCCAATATGGAATTCTCATGGAAGGCATCTTATGAATCCCACTGCCTAGAAGACTGGTTGTAACAAGCACCTCAGGCTCTGAAGAGCTTTTGGAAGGCTATATCTGATGTGTGCATGAACACGTCACGCTGGCCTGTTTTCAGAGTGAGACTAATCATCAAGTCAGGGACTCGGTGACTAGATGGCTGGAGGGAGAGTGCACTAACTGTGGCTGCCCACTGAAGGAAAAGAGACCAAGAAGAGAAGGCAAGAGAATATGGTCACTCAGAAGAGGAAAACAAAAGAGGAGGAGGTAGGAGAGTATAAAAGTTGCAAGGACCTTGAGCAATGTCATCTAGAACACCAACAGAGCCAGTTGAGGGAGCATGTGGAGGAAGCTGAGAAATTCTGTTGGGATTAAGAAGAAAAAAAATCCCTCTCTCTCTGTTGTGGTGATTTCCCTTCAGAAATGTAGTAGCTCTTCTTCCATGTTTTGAATGGAGGGCTCAGTTCCAGAGACTAATGCCAACAGGCTCCAGTACAACACAGCTCAGCTGCCTGGCTCTCAAAAGCACTTCAAGCTGCAGGTGCTCCAGTGAAATAGAGATTAAAGACATTTGCCAGGGCAGCCTCAGGGAGATGTAAAAAACCCCTCCAGTTATTATTCCTTACATTGCACTCTGTTTTCCATTTCCTTTTTTATTTTACTTACTGAGGATGGGATACTTTCAGTTAATTTCCCTTTTATGTGGGCACTTTTTACAGACAAAGACTGAATTTTGATGATACAACATTAAAACCTATTGGAGTTGGTTTTGAGGTTCAAGCATCTCTAGTCCATTTCTGTGTGCCAAAGGGAAAAATGGTGTGCATTCAAAATGGCTGAAACTCTGGAAAACAAGAGAGGGAAGAGGTGGAATGGACAGAGAACAGAAAACAGTTTTTGTGGTATTAAAAACATAATTACGTCCCATGTTTTGGGGAACATGAAACCTGGATCTTTTGTTCAGCAGCCATTTTTTTTATGATAATAATGTTCCAAGTCCAGCAGAAGCGGAACAAAAGGGAATTTCTCACAAAAAGCCAAACTAAAACCAGCACCCCCCTGGAAAAAGTGTTGCATTAAATTAACACAGGGAAAATAATGTGGAAGAAAATTAAAGTGCCCCATGGTTATCTTGAAGAATCTACATATTAAAGACTGTGTGTAGCGTTAATTTCACTGATCTCTAAATGAATCCATGATTGGGCAGCGTCACTGGGCCCGTCTCAGCTTTTTAGAACAGGAGGAATAATTCATGTCATTGGAACAGTAGGGATTAGGTGGGTAGAACTGTATATACACTACAGAACGGCGATCCTAATAAACTCTTGTGAGGTGTGCTGGGACAGTCTAACTATGCTGTGTGCGGAATCCCGTCACAGCAGTAGGGCTCTTCTTTGACAAAGTTCTTTGTTACCTACATGGACTTTTCTGATTACTCTTCTGAATGTTCCTGGGAAGAACGTGGACGTGGTGTATATGGACTGGCATTGAAGAGAATTACCAAAACGTACTCCTGCATCCTTCCCCACTATTGTAACTCATCTGGAATTTGGCTTAATGTACATTGACTCCACCTACACAATTCTCGTAGCTGGAGTTGTGCATCTTAAGTCAAATTTCTGGGGTAGTGTAGACCTGGCCTCAGTACAGTCACTTAGGTGGTGGAGGTGGAGTGAGCAATACTGAAATGCAGTCCAAGCCAAACCAGATAAAAAGCCCCAGTGTCTTT